GACAGAAGCGTGATTTAAGTTAAGGTAAGGGTTAGGTTTAGGGTTAGGTTTAGGGTTTGGTTTAGGGTTAGGTTTATGGGTAGGTTTAGGGTTATGTTTAGGGTTAGGGTTAGGTTTACAGCGTGCTTCCGTCGCCGCGCTTCAGCGCTCTTTCATCGCCGCGCTTTAGAACCCGCGGTTTTGTCACCGCGGTTTAGTCGGGCGCGCTTTTGTCGTTCGCCCTTTTGTCGGTGAACCCTTCCTTATCAATCTGCAAGTCCAGGATCCACCTTCTCTCTTCCGTCTCTCCCGAGTCCGCGGTCCCACCTCGATCGAGTCCTGATCCCTGCTTCTCCTAGAAAGGCAGGGGCTCCAGCTTCTCCATCATAGATTTGATCCAGCTCGTCCCGTTGATCAGCTTGGTGGTGGCGATGACGTACTCGGTGCCGCCATCCTCCATCTGGGAGAGGAAGCGCAGCGCTGCGATTTCAGCGTAGGTCACGCCTCCCAGGAAGAAGACGAGAGTGATGCGGTTTTCTCCGTGCTGGCCTGGAATGATCGGAGGAAGGAGGGGGGGGGGGATATTGAAAACTGATTGATTGATTTTGATTGATTCAATCAATCAATCAATCAAAATCAATCAATATTGAAAACTGCCTTCCAAATTATGTGTTGTGTTCTCTGCCGCTCCTTTTCACCCACCCGACCGCCGTCGGTTCAAAAAACAATGAGAAACTCTATTATTGATGCTATTATTGGGAGTGTGAGCAAACATATGTTAACAGGGAGTCCTCAATTTCCGACCGGAATTGGGACTAGAATTTCTGTCGGTTGTTAAGTGAGCCATGGCTGGCTTTATACCTTTATTTGCCGCGGTTGTTAAGCGAAACACTGCGGTTTGTTCAATGAATCCGGCTTCCTCCATTGACTCTCGTCAGACCGAATTGGATCGCATGACCATGGGAATGATGGTCATAAGTATGAGGACATCGTAACTCACTTTTTTTTTGTAACTTTGAGCGTTCACTAAACAAACGGACGTAAGCCAAGGACTCCCTGCAATACCATCATGGAACATCTGCCACACAGGAGGAAGTGCGAAGTGCAATGCAGAATTTAAATGTGATTCATCATCACCGTCTTTAATGACCTCAGAATCCCTTGCGGGGTGGAAACTGAGTGGCGTTAGCAGAGCATTTACTGGCCGGTTGCCTTTCTTGTCCCCAGTACGGAGGTTTTTTTTAAGAAGATAAATTCTCATTGTGCCGAGAGAGAAATACCTGCCTCTACCTAGGATTGAACTCACAGCCTCCCCATTGTGAGGCGAGAGCGCCACCTCTAGGCCACTGAACCACTCCAGAAATTAAGCATGATAAAAAGAGCCGAGGTGGCGCAGTGGTTAAATGCAGCACTGCAGGCTACTTCAGCTGACTGCAGTTCTGCAGTTCGGCTGTTCAAATCTCA